CCTAGCTTCCCTCCTCGTAGTATTTGAGACCTGTACGCGGACACCCGGCCCGTCTGGTCTAGTATCCTAGCCTCCCTCATCGTAGTATTTGTGACCTGCACGTGGACACCCGTCCCGTACGGTCTAGTATCTTAGATTCCCTCCTCGTAACGCATGCGACCGGCCCGTCTGGGATAGTACCCTAGCTTTCCTCCTCGTAGTGCATGTGACCGGCGCGCGGACATCATTCCCGACTGGTCAATCATACCGCAATCCCACGTCCGACAAATTCTACCCGGCTTGGCCTCGCCCGAAGGTCCAGCCCGGTGGATTTCTGGCCTCCGATACGTGGAAAACGACTTACGCGCCTGGATTACCGAAGCAATCAGTGACGTCACCCACCGGTCCCACTCTCTCGAAATAGTGTCCTGGCTCGGCCTCGCCCGAAGGTCCAGCTCGGTGGATTTTTTGCCTCCGACACGCGGAAAACGCCTTGTGCGCCCCAATCGCGGAAGTGATATCACTCAGTGTTTACCACTCTCGTGAAATCGTTTGCCCGGAATGGCCTCGTCCGAAGGTCCAGCCCGGTGGATTTTTGGTCTCCGACAGGCGGAAAACGACATGTGCGCCCCAATTACGGAAGGGACCAGTGACATCACCCAACGTTTCCACCCTCGTGAAATCGTTTGCCTGGCTTGGCCTCGCTCCAACGTTCTGCCAGTTGGATTTTTAACTCCGGAGTAAGATACGGCGCGATTGAAGGAAACTCTTTAGTCCGGTGTTTTGGTGATTTACAAATTTCTTGTAAAGGACTCCTGGATCTGACTGAGATCTGTACCCCGGCCAGAGAGCATCCTTACAATAAATACAATACACTTTATTTTTCACATTCGAATTTTTTACTTCCGATATGTTTCTTGATACAAAATGGACTGCTCGCTTAATTCTAAAATCATATCCAACGAAACTCGGCCAGAAGCTTTTCTTTGAGCTTCAAGAACTTTTTTTTTGTTTCGAATATAAGCTTAGGATGAAATCATGGCATCCTATTATGAAATTCAAATATGCTCACCGATGCAATTTGTTTGGGCTTGGATCGCAATATTTTGAACTTAGAACGCAATCGATTGGGCTTCGATTGGAAACTTATGTTTACTTAAGTTTTGTTTGTTTATCTTGGCAGGGAAACCAAGAGCGGACTCCAAAGCCAAAGGCATGGGCAAAGACAAAGGCAAATGCAAAGCCATAGGCAAACATTGCTTAAATTATATTTTGAAAATTGTTTATTAATTCCATAAGCGGCCCGGTTTCATGGGTTGAATAACTGTTATGTGTTTTGCATACACAATCAATTCAATATGTTTTACAACATGGAACGCCCTGAAATAATTTTACAGCGCGTCCTAACTTCTTTTGAATTTGTTGTTTTTGGCTGTTTAATCGCCATACTTTGTCAAGTCATCTAATGCAGCTTCGATCTTTCAATGTCTATTGGGCTATAATGGCTTATATGAGCTTTTCGGAAACTCGACCTGTTAGGATTTCCAGTTTATCATTGATTTAAGATTGATCTTAAGTTATTTGAGAGGCAGGACTCGAAGGGTCCTGTTTCCAAATTCAACTTCTAATTATCTCCGTGTTATCGCCAGCAAGGGAGTCAGCTTCTTTTTACTTTATTTATAATGACCTCCCCTTAATTATAAGTTATTCTTGCGTACTTTTGTACGCAGGTAATGTTAAATTATGTCTGCAGTATAAGGATATTTCCTGCCAGAAAGATTTACAATCCGATCTAAAACTTATTAAAATATAACTCATAAATTTAATCGTTACAAAAGATTTGTTTTGGGCTTAAAAAATTTCGCGGGCGACAACGACCGTGTATATTTTTTTTCGATCCATCGAATAATAACCCCTAAGAGCCCCAAGGATAAGACAAAAACAAATTCCATTCGACTTAGCCATCCAAAAAAAAACAGTGTAATTTTTGTCGCCTTGCCTCGGTCTTATCGGTAACGAATTGGACCGCAAGCAAGAAACGAAAAATTTTAAGTGTTTAGAAAAATGTGACCGGCAATCTTATCTAATGTACCGGCCTTCACATCTCCATAAGCATGTGCATTTACCCCTGGTCTATATGAATGCCAAAAAAACAACGATAAGAGAGCTAGAGAGTAAGGGATGTTAATGCCGGCAGCTGGAGTTTACAGTGATCTCATTGCAATAGATGACAATCGATGGTTTACACTTTAATTTGGCTATAAAGATTTGTCTGCTTCCGACATACTCCCCCTTAAAAGAATCACTTTTAACAGCATCATCTATAGGCATAAGGCACAGCTTGTTCCCTGCTCTGCGAATGTTGCCGGTAGCAGAATTTAGGCCTACCACGGGAGATATGCCATCATTTTCTAGAATAAGGCCGACCACTCGGGCCAGCGGCCAACGCATTAATGGAAGATTCTCATCCTTGACCAGATCATCTGACTAAAGTGATCGAGTTGCGAGGCGCCATCTGGAGCGTTGTTGCAGCAGGGTCAAATACTTACAGCGGCAGAATGAGTGCCGCTCAAGACCAATCGAACTAGTCCCTGCAAATAATTTTTTGCTTCTAAAAAGTTATCGCGTTATCGCTCCAAATTTGATTATTCATGCCTCGCGTAGCAATGAATCGCCTTAGCGCACTGAGAAACGAGCTCGTTGTTAGGTCTTGTACAAGCTCTAAATTCACAGCCTTGGTTGTAAAGCAAACAAAAACTGAATTGTAGCACTTAACTGGAGGCCTGCTGTAGTAAAAGGGACCGCAGAAGATTACTTAACTAACTTTATATGCTCGGGATCCTGCCAGTTGTTCCTTCGGGAGGCTTAGTCCGGAAGCACTTGATGCATTTACGGACCACTCTTGAGACGCCAATGGGCCAAAACTGCAAGCACAAATTTGAAAGCAGGGCACGGTGTCCGGCTTGCAGCTGCCGTTTATGAAAGCTTTGTTGCATAGCAGGAAACGAATTTTTATACTATAAACAAGAGGTAGGCCATTTATTTAGAAAGGCAAAGTCTTGATTGAAGAACCTGATCAGGATTTGCTACCCTAGTTCCTGTATAGATGCCGCCAGGTTGGCGACAAATACGTTAATAGAAGACAAAACCACGGATGAATCCCTCCGACAAAAGAAGCTTCTATCGAAGCATCCAATCTGCTAAGCTGAACTCATTAGTTGAGACAATAATAACGCTCCAGACAATTCCTGCTTTGGTACGGTAATCGTTTTTAACGGGGCTACTCTATATTCGAGGCCAACAAAAGACTTATTCCCCCAGCAGACTTCGAGACAATGTACATGCAACTCCATAGGCGTCACAATACTCTTTGGATATAGTACTAGTCTAGAAAAGGTACACCGCCAAACATGCCCGAATCTGTTTAAAGGAAATCTCTCATCCCAAGTCAGCTTAGCCTTTCAAAGATCTTGCACTTTTGCAATTACCTAGCCGATAAAGCCAAGGGTTTCGTACTTTTGGGCAATAGTTGATAGGATGGAAAGTTTACTGTGCTTTCTACTTTGGGGTAGCGATAAAAATAAAAATAATAAATTTTTAATAGAGGGATCCGATACAAGGCCCAGTGCCTTGGCTTTATTACCTCCGTCATCAAATTTTAGAAACTGGTCCTTGTCAGCCTCAGCTACAGTTTCTAAAACGGCTGCATGACTAGAACACCATTTGTTGTTACGCTTGCGCGTATTACTCGCCTAAGTTAATGGATTTGAAACTAAATGGCAGACTTACCAAGTATTCACCTGTAGTTAGTCAGAAAAACATGTCGGTAAAATGCCTTTTGCAATCAAGCGCCTCCTTTTGTTCGTCATCCTATGAACACCTTCATCAAGACGATCCATTATTTTATGATTTGAAACACAACGAGCAGCCAAAGTTTTTGTATTAAAATGTTTTTGTCCTCCATCAGAAACAAACCAGCCAAGGCAAGTTTTCTGAAGAAGCGGTAGCCCAGGGACCAGCTCAATCAGGGACCAATCATAAAACATGCTAGCTCCAAATAGTAAATCTATTCGCTGAGGCTTTTGGAATATTGGGTGTGAGTGCAGATAGTAATGCCGAATAATCAGATGCCTGAGATTTTAGGCAAATATCGAATGAATGGGATGACCAGACGCTTTGCAATAAGCACATGGTAGATTGTTACTCTGGCAGACAAGAAATGATCTCCTACTAATAATAGAGCTAATTAAATTATATGTTCCCACTTGAAAGTTTGAGGTACAACTGGCATGGCATGCTGAAGGTTCTCCATTTTTTGGCGCCGATTCTCCAAAAATTCATAAAATTCCTTCGCTGGCATACCCACGGAAATGGCCTTCTCCCAACTTATTTTCAAAATGACGAAGGAATCTGCAATCTCCTGAGCTGATCTTATTGTGTGAGTTGATTTTTTCCGAAAACTCCCGAAGTTTATATGCCGCCGAAGAATCAAACCTTTTGAGATACGTGTGGGACTGAAAAACAAGACGTTTATTAGAATAGCGTTTATTAAGCAGATCTAGAGCCACTGAATAGTTGGCTAACGTTATATCTAACGACCTTATGGCATCCAGCGCTGGGCTAAGTAAACACGAACGTAAGTGGTCTTGACGCTGTCAGCTTTTTGACAGTTTTATTTACTTAAATAAATAATCGTAAATTTAATTGATATAATAAAATTGATTTAATTATAATTGCGGGGGGCAACAACGACGATGTATATTTCTTGCGATCCAACGAGCAATAATCCCAGAAAGCCGCAATAGGAATGTCCGCGCCAAGGAGGGGCCACTGTCCAAATTATTCGTTAACAGTCGAGAGCAGTTATGTCCAGATGAACTCTCATCTCGCTCTCGGTCTGTTAACAGTCTCCACCCCCGCTCTCCTAGCATTAGATTTAAGTAGAGTTAAGGAGTTCTAAGTTCGAAGCCACAAAGTGAAGTTGTGCAAGTTAAGTAAAATAAGTCATATGAAATAAAAATCACATTTACCAAAAAAAGAACCCAGCGAGTCGCCATTTCCACCAGCATCCTCCAAGGGCAGAAATCCGCCAACCCCCCCAACTTTTCATTTTTTAGTTCTACGGCCGGATCCATCTGCGATTCCCAGCGGCACCGGTGGATTTTCTTCAATTTCAAAAATAAAAAGATAAGTACGATTTTACTATTTCCAACCGATCGCCATTTTGCGACTCCACGGTTTTCTTTTTTTTTCCATTTCCATTTTTTATGTACATATTCACATACGTACATTCCAAAATATATTCACATACGTACATTCCAGAAACATATTTGCATACGTACATTCCAGAAACATATTTACATACGTACATTCCAGAAACATATTTACATACGTACATTCTAGAAAATTATTCACATACGTACATAATTTAAAATAATAATTTTACATATCCACATTTACATATTCGTGAAACATATACATATACGAAAATAAAATACAATACAGTCCACAACCAACAAACATTTCCAACAAACATTTCCAGCAAACATCCCAACCATCCCAGTTTTTGTGTGTTAACAAATAAACGCAAAGTGATCACACATATTTCAAATTAATTTTCATCTTTGTCAAGTATTTGTTTACATAAACAACATTAAACAAGTGTATGTGAGAAATAACCAGACATATCAAGAGGGCTACGCATGACACGACGGAGCAGCAAATAAATTTAATAACGAAATACTCCAGCTCCACCTGCGTTTTTTTGTAAAGTTATTTCCTTATACATATATACATATATATCCAAAGCTTGAGCAACCAATTCCACTTGGGACAGTGGAAACATTCAACAGGTTTATTGTTACATTCCATTCATTCCGTCAAAGCTTGAGCGACCAAATCCACTTGGGACAGTGGAAATATTCAAAAGGGTTATTGTTACATTCCATGCATTCCGTCAAAGCTTGATCAACCAATTCCACTAGGGACAGTGGACATATTCAACAAGTTTATTGTCCATTCCATTCATTCCGTCACATATAAAACGCCATATACTGGCATATATTAATATTATTGATTATTATTTATAAACATCAGTGCTCCATTCCATACAAAAAATAATAATAAATAACTCAAGCAATAATAAACAACTCAAGTAACCTGAGGGCAAACAAAGCATAATTAAACAATAAATACGACATTATATATATAAATAATACACCTTAAAAATTGTTTTGTTGTGTTCCAACTAACATTGTTTATTAATTTTTTCCTATCGAGTTACCAAGTAGTCATTGGCAAATCCCACAGCAGCGTGACTATTCTGGATATATACAATTTATATTTTTTGATATATTTCCTATATGCTTTGTTCCAAAAAATTGCCATTCATTCCATTCCATAAATTCCAGGTTTTTTATTTAATGCTTATTAAACCAATTAATATTAAAAATAATTTTGGCATCAAGATCATTACGAGTCCATTGATTTTAATATAAAATTGATTTTTATTTTACTGCGAGTAGGGGCAATTTCCTGATCCTTATTCTAGCATGCCCATAGGGGATAAGAAAAATTTGAAGACAACCCCGCGGGTAAGCTTAGAGCGACCACGATCAGCGTCCCCTCGTGTGTCTCAGGGTAAACAAGAACCCAAAGCGTTGATTTTCAACGCAAAAAGCGACAGCTCCTTAAACGCTCCTGTAGTTCCACAAATAAAAGTCACGCGATCCAGCGTAAAGATGGCCCAACGCGACGCAGTTTTAGACAAATTTATTTCGATCTCTGACCGTCTGAGCACATTTGAAGCCAGAATAAACGTTTCAGGAGCTTCAGATCCTTCGGTCCACACGTGCCAAGTTCGACGTGATCAAATCAAGGCATTATGGGACAGGGTAGAGAACGAGTACGAAGTATGTTCAGACGCAATTCTTGCGGGGGGCGGGGAGGCGCATGCAATGTTAGAACTTCTGTAAGCCAAATATGAGCATTGCTATGAAGTTTACGAATCCTGTACCGCGAAACTCAGTGAACAAATTGAGCGAGTGAAAACTCAAACGGCCAACGCCAATTCCAACACCCTGCCCATTCCGTTTTCGTCCGGTTGCCGACTACCGCCATGCGACACTGAGGTTTTCGAAGGAGACTATTTGAAATGGCCAACATTTAGGGATCTTTTTACCGCAGTTTATGTCAACAATCCTAGGTTGACAGCGGTCGAAAAACTTTTCCATCTCAACGCTAAAACAAGCGGCGAGGCTAAGGCAATCGTATCCAAATCCCCTCTTACAAATGAGGGTTTCGATTCAGCTTGGGAAGCACTTCGAGACCGTTTCGAAAATAAGAGACTGCTAGTAAATAGCCAACTCAAACTGCTTTTTAATTTGGGTTCCGTAAATACCGAATCTGGCCAGGCACTGAAAGACCTTCAGAGCACAATCCAAGGGTGTTTGATAGCGCTTGCTCATTCCAACATTTCCACAGAGAACTGGGACTGTCTCCTGGTATTCCTGTGCGCCAGTAAATTGCCGAAACTGACCCTTTCCTTATGGGAGCAGTCCCTTTCATCCAAGTCCGACATTCCGACCTGGGATGAAATGAACACGTTTCTTAGCGAACGCGATTGAGGATATGAAACCCAGCCACAGCAATCACTCTACCGCTAAGAGTCAACCCGTTCCCAGGAAGCTCAACTCTTTCGAAGCCAAGGTAGTTACTAAACCAAAGAATTGCGACCTGTGCTCAAAAGAGAGTCATCCAGAGCGCTTATGCCAGCGTTTTCTCCAGATGTCTGTGGATGCGCGAACAATCTACATAAAAAAAAAACAGCTTTGCCTAAATTGCTTCGCAAGAGGACACCAGCTACGTGACTGTACTAGCACTCACAGCTGTTTCACATGCCGAGCTCGGCATCATACACTGTTGCATAAAGGCAACCCTATTTCCCGTGGGTCAACTTCCGCAAGTAGTTCGTCTGCAAGCCCTCAAAACCCAGCGGTGCAAGGGGCCGCCACCGGTCTAGAAAATCCGCCCAGTGTACAGAACTATTTCGCAACCGGTGCTAGAGCGGTTTTGCTAGGCACGGCCATTATTGATATATGCCACTTGGGAACGAACTACAGGGCTCGTGCTCTAATAGACTCGGGTTCTGAGGCAACGTTTATTTCGGAACGCCTGTTCAATCTGATTAAGCTGCCATTCCGCCTTATCCAAGCCCAAGTTTCGGGCTTAAATCAAACCGTTTCCGCTCAGGCGACCAAGCTCTGCCATTTTTCTATTCGAGCCCCTAATAAGCCAGGCCTTCAGCTAGAAACCACAGCTTACGTCTTGCCCGAACTGGCTGGAATGCTTTCGTCGTACCCAATTCCACGAGATGCGCTGGTTGATTTACCGGCCATCCCCCTGGCAGATCCAACATTTTTAGAGAGTTCCCAGATAGATGTTCTGATCGGAGCCGACATTTTACCGTCCGTGTTGCTGAGCGGCACGCGCACCAACATTTGCGGCTCTCTGCTAGGACAGGAGACTATTTTCGGCTGGGTGCTTACCGGCCCAGTGTCCAATGCATCAGTCCAAAAGCGGGTAGCAGCTTTCTCGACCCAGATAACCGAAACAAGTGACAGGGTCTTAGAAAAACTTCTCACTAAGTTTTGGGAGGTGGAGAATATACCAACAAGGAGGGTAAAGGAATCCGATTCCTATTGCGAGAGCAATTTTCTCTAAACCACCACTAGAGACGCAAGCCGGAAATACGTGGTAACGTTACCGTTTCGCGAACCCGAAAATTTCGGATCCAAATTGGGGCACTCGCGATCCATTGCCCTAGCTCAGCTTCTTAGGAACGAAAACCGTTTAAAAAGAGACTTTCCACTAAAAGAGCAATATGACTCAGTCATTCAAGAGTATTTGGATCTGGGTCATATGAGAGAAGTTCCCCCGTCTTACGATACTCCAAACTATTATCTTCCACACCATGCTGTGATCAAACCCGAGAACACCACCACCAAACTACGCGTGGTATTCAATGCTTCTAGCCCTTCAGCAAATGGGACAAGCTTGAACGATATTCTTCATGCTGGTCCAGTCCTACAATCTGATTTAACCATTCAGATCTTGAAGTGGCGTTATTTCCAGTACGTGTTCAGTGCAGACATTACAAAAATGTACCGTCAAATCTGGGTCGATCCCAAGCACACGCCGTTCCAAAGAATTTTATTCCGAAACAAAGAAGGAGAAGTAAGCGATTTCGAACTAAAAACCGTCACCTTTGGTGTCAACTGTGCTCCGTTTCTGGCACTTCGCGTACTCCAACAATTGGCAGACGACGTAGAAACGGAGTTTCCTAAAGCAACCAATATTATTCGGCATTTTATGTACGTAGACGATGTTCTGGCAGGGGCCAATTGAATACAAGAGGCTCGACTTGCTATCAGCGAGCTTTGCCACGCTTTTAACCTTGCCGGGTTCCCGTTGAGAAAGTGGACAGCGAATCAGAATAGCATACTCGAAGATATCCCTAACGAGCACCTACTCCACGATGACTTTCGCGATCTCAATTCCGAAAGCACTACCAAAACACTTGGGGTTCGGTGGAATGCGACCTCGGACGAGTTCTATTTTGTTCCACCGCTAGTTTCGATTGAATCTACGTATACCAAGAGAGAGGTTCTTTCCCAGATCGCGAAACTTTTTGACCCCGCGGGATGGCTGTCCCCGTTTATTGTCCGCTCAAAAATCTTTATGCAAGAAATTTGGTTGCAACAGTTGGGCTGGGATGAAAATATCCCCACAGAAATGAATCAAAGATGGTAAGAGTTTTTGCGCAGCTATTCCGAGCTCAAGCAAATCCGTATTCCTAGGTGGGTTGGGTTCCAGCCAGAGGTGAAAGTCGAGCATCATGGGTTTTCTGATGCGTCGCAGAAGGCATATGGGGCCGCAATATACTTGCGGGTTGAAGTAGGACATAATATTATGACACATCTGCTTACCGCCAAGACCCGAGTCGCACCTGTTAAAACGGTGTCCCTTCCACGGCTCGAGCTATGTGGGGCCTTGTTGTTGTCAGAAATGATCGCAGCTATCCTTCCGAATATGCCAATTTCCAATTCCGACATTTTCTGCTGGACTGATTCCACCATCGTCCTCGCATGGTTGAACAAACCGGCATGCCAATGGGCCACGTTTGTAGCCAACCGAGTGACCAAGATTACTCAGGTGACGAGCGCTGAGCATTGGGCGCATGTCCGATCTGAGCACAATTCCGCGGACCTAGCCAGCCGAGGAGTTTCGCTGCAGGATCTGGTTCATAGCCAACTCTGGTGGAAAGGACCGGACTGGTTACAACAGCCAAAAGGCCAGTGGCCAACACAGGGGCTTGCGACTCCAGTTACAGACTTAGAGCAGCGTGCTGTGAAGGTCAATTTCGCAAAGGCCCTATCCGACGATTTTCTGGAACGATTCTCCAAATTGGACAAGGCTCTGCGGGTCCTTGCGTACGTGTTACGGTTCACTCAACGCTGCCGCAAGATGCCGAGGGGCCCAGCTGACCGGCCTACAAAGGAGGAGGTCCGAGAAGCTGAAAGATCCCTTATTCTATATGCTCAACGTGAGGAATATACCCAAGAGCTTAAATTCCTAAACGATAAGTGTCCAATTCCAGTGTCCAGCCCGATAGCCAACCTGTTTCCATTCCTAGACCAGCACGGCCTGTTAAGAGCATGTGGTCGCATTACTGCCTCAACAGCACTTCAGTATGACGAGCGCCATCCTATTATACTGCCATATAACTGTAGGCTTTCTCGTCTGCTCGTCCTTTTTTCACACCAGATTTCCCTGCATGGCGGCAACCAACTAGTGGTACGCCTCATTCGATCGAAGTATTGGATTCCTAAACTCAAGAATCTGGTAAAAGCTGTGCTAAACTCCTGTAAGGTGTGTACTATTTACAAGAAGAAATTACAGACGCAATTAATGGGCGATCTTCCGACCGATCGAGTTTCCTTTTCCAGGCCTTTTACATATACTGGCATTGATTATGCAGGCCCATTTGAAATAAAAAACTATACTATTACCAAGGGATATGTTTGCGTGTTTGTATGTTTCTCCACAAAGGCGATCCATTTAGAGCCTACTTCCGACCTCACAACCGAGAAGTTCCTCGCAGCCTTTGCCCGATTCGTAGCGAGGAGGGGTTGTCCTCAGCGGGTTCATTCGGATAATGGCAAAACCTTTGTGGGGGCAGCGACTCTACTTTCGCGTGATTTTATGCAAGCGATCAAGGAGTCTGTGACTGATGCCTATAGCCATCAGGGACTTTTGTGGCGTTTCATTCCACCAGGAGCTCCACATATGGGAGGACTATGGGAGGCTGGAGTGAAAAGCTTTAAAACACTTTTCTACAAGTCGTCGTCAAGTCGGAAGTATACGTTTGAAGAGCTCTCTACCCTTCTTGCCAAAGTTGAAGCGTGCCTTAATTCCAGGCCACTGTCTCCCATGTCCGAAAATCCTTCTGATTTGTTGGCGTTAACGCCAGGCCACTTTCTGATTGGGGGTCCGTTGCTTTCCACAGCTGAACCCGAAATAAAGGGCGATGCTAAGTCGATTATAAATCGCTGGCAACATTTAAAGGCCCTGCATCAGCAGTTCAGTGCGCGATGGAAAGAGGAATATTTAAAGGAACTGCACAAGCGCAATAAGTGGCAGAATCCGTCCAAAGATATACAAGTCGATGATATGGTGGTCGTCAAAGAAGACAATATGCCATCAAACGACTGGCGGCTCGGCAGAGTTGTATCTGTCTTTCCAGGGGCCGATAGTAGAGTTCGCGTAGTAGAAATCCGTACCGCTCGAGGAATTATTAAACGTCCCGTCCATAAGCTAGTACTTCTTCCTATGGAGGCCAAGGCAGCCTTAGTACTTCCAAAATAGAGCCTTCTGTCCTCATGCTCCAATATTCGTTCACGATTGACACTAAATGTACTTATCATTTATTTTTTTTTATATATTAAAGCATTAAAACCATGGCTCCACGACCTCGCAGCGCCCAAACTCTGGACGACAGACGTTCCCGAGGTACTCGATCCTACCGCTGCCGAGTCTGTCGGGGAATCCATCCGCTACGAAAATGCAACAGGTCTTCCAGTTCGCGACGCCAGTCAATTTCTCCAGTGCGACCTTCGGTAACTGCATCACGACCATCAGCTTCCGGCTCACGCTCTCGGGGTCCAACACCCAGCTCGCGGAATCGTTCCCGGCATTCCGACCAGGCCGAAGCGCCAACTGCAGCTCCATCTGTGGCGTCTCTGTTGCAGCATCGGAGTGTGCAAATCATCCCGACGGCCATCGTGGTTCTCGACACAGGAACCAATAAATACGAGACGGGTGCCCTGATCGACCCGTGCTCCCCGGTGAGCACCATTGATAGATCGCTCGCTGCGGCGTTCCGGGTCCCCACGACAAGCGTCGGAGACGAGACGGTCTGTTCGGCGACGATAAGGTCGCACTCCAATCCGTGCACTAGCCGACGATGTTCGCGCTAGGTTTAATGATATCTGTCTTGCTGATGAACAGTTTCATCGCCCGGCGACGATATCCCTGGTGTTGGGCTCTGACGTCTATCGTGATGTCATCCAACCCGGGTTCCTAAATCTGGATGAGGGGCTGCCTGTCGCACAAAGCACTGTGTTCGGCTGGATTGTCTCGGGATCCTGTAGACAATCTTAAGGCGCCAGACGTGTGGAAAACTTGGTTGCTACGTTTGCCGTCGCAAGGGGGGGAGAATGTCCGATGAACTCTCATCTCGCTCTCGGTCTGTTAACAGTCTCCACCCCCGCTCTCCTAGCATTAGATTTAAGTAGAGTTAAGGAGTTCTAAGTTCGAAGCCACAAAGTGAAGTTGTGCAAGTTAAGTGAAATAAGTCATATGAAATAAAAATCATATTTACCAAAAAAAGAACCCAGCGAGTCGCCATTTCCACCAGCATCCTCCAAGGGCAGAAATCCGCCAACCCCCCCAGCTTTTCAAGGAATATATAAATGCCAAAAAAGAACCGACTAGAGAGAGATGTTAATTCCGGCAGCTGGAGCTTACAGTGATCTCATTGCAATAGGTAACAATCGATTGCTTACATTTTATTTTGGCTATGAAGATTTGTCTGCTCCCAATTGTGTAAATTTAATTTTTAAGCGCAAACACAATACATTTTAAACAATTTTATAGCTTTTAATGTTAAATTTCTAAGCCATGTTTTCCAATAACATTTATCATTTTTATTCCGCCTTTATCACCAAACTCATCACAATATTTGTACAAAATATGATCTTCCATCTCTTCAGGTATATAAAACAATAACCTTCATCATTTGTTTTCCTGTAGAAAACAAATAACTATATAACACCATGCTGCAGAGTTGAGTTTTCTGTATATTTAAGCATATGTTTTCTTCTGTCTAAGCACTATGTGCGTCTTGTAAGCAGCTAATCAAACAAATTTAAATGCAGATTTGTTAATAATAGAAAAATCTACTATATAAAAAAGATTTGAGCATGTTCGACGTCTGCATGTTTTTCTAATTTGCATTTAAAAAATCGGCTAAACACACTTTGGGAATAATCCATTGCCGCATTAGCATTTAGCTAAAGTTACTCCAACATGTGTGTGGCACAAACAGCTGATCTGGGTTTGTTTCCTTTTGAACCGTCGCAAATCCAAATGAAATGAATTAAAAATCATGAATATGATAATGTATTGTAATACTGCGACCAGGATTTGCTGCGGGTGCTCTTGTTTTTTTGGTCATTTTTATGCAAAATAGATTTTTTATTCGAAAGAAATCGAAAATTGGGCCATTCTTGCGTATCGAAATCAGCTGTTGTAGTGGTAGCACTAGCAAAATACCATCAAGTATCGGTATTTTTCGGTATTTTTTTAAAAAGTTCGGGGCGAATGATTTGAAGTCGCCTTTAATTTTCGCATTTATTTTATATGCGGCAATTTGCCCTATGTGTAAGTAAATGCGCATTAAGTTAAATGCGCCAATGGAACTATTACATATGGAATTATTACATATGGAATATTACATATGTAAAAATCCCTGCCGTTCCACTATGATGTGCTCTGTGGATTTTGTGTATTAGCACAACGAAAGCTTATAGCCTATACACAATATTTTGGTGGATAAATCCAGGACGCCGATGAAAAAGTAAAATTCGAACTTGTTGCATTTGAAAGCTATCGACAGGGGAATATCGCCCTAAGAGATGGTAGTGTGACCAGTTTTTCAAAGGTTAGTAGGGCCAAGAAAGAGAGGGGAAGTGTGGAGAGTAAGAGGCGCTCTGGTTGACGGTCAGAAAAGAGAACCTTAATCCGCTCTTAGATTCCACCACCTCCCCTGGCCCAGAAGTATCTCCACCCACACCAAACCATGAGGAACTGCACCCACACCGATAGCTGAATGAGAGCCGAGCGGCTACGTGATGCAAATGGAAGAGGTCTCTGCCGTTGGCGAAAAACCGAGAAAGGGATCAGGGAAAAAAATCGGGTGATGCTGGTGCTGGGCAGAGGGTATAAATAGGGCTGAAAGGGATCAGGCCACCACGAGTTCCGAAAAAATTCTTACAGCAGCAAGTGGTTCGGAAAATTGAAGTGAAAATAATATATATAATATTAAAAGTGAGTTATAGCCTGATTCCATTGCCGCATTAGTGGACTTTTTAAATGTGCCTGATTCCATTGGCGCATTAGCATTTAGTTAATGCTACTCCGACATGTGAGTGGCCCGAACAGCTGATCTGGGCTTGTTTACTTTTGAATTTTGGCAAATACAAAAGAAATTAATTAAAATTAATGAACATGAGTGAGTTTACTAAACTCTGTAATGCTCAGCAGGACATCCATATTGCGACCGAGACATTTGCCAATTTGAACGACAAAGAAGAGAAGCTGATTGCGTTGTTATGACGGGTTTGCAATGGAGACCAGCACAGTTTCTAAAAAAGGCAAGGATCCACATATATGTGGAAGTAATTTAATGCCAGAGATCCAACAATAAAGCATTGTGGTACTGCGAGCAGAATTTGCAGCGTGCGCTCTAGGTTTCAGTCATTTTTTTACAAAATAGATTTTATATTCAAAAGACATCAAAAATTGCGCCAACCTTGCTTATAGAAAACAGCTGTTGTAGTGGTGGCACGAACAAAATATCGTTAAACATCGGTATTTTCCAGTATTTTTTCTAAAATCTTTCGGGGCGAATGGTTTTTAATCGCATTTAAAAATCGCATTTATTTTAAATGCGGCATTTAGCCTTATGGGATTCCCTGTGTAAATAAATGCGCATTTGGCTAAATGCGTTTTAATGCGGCAATGGAATTAGGCTATTAGATGATGGGGTAGTGGCCATCATTCTAAAGTGTAGTATCATGATAATATAACGAACATCTTCAGAAAAGGAAACGGGACGAGTTTGGCCGAGGAAATAGAACAGGCAACCGGGACCGGGAAAAGAAGGCACCGTCAACGAAGAAGTAAGTCCGTTCCAAAGAAACAATTTAATATAAAAAGAAAAAAAAGGGAAAGTAAATTTAAAATTTTCCGGTTAAGGTCACCGTTGGCGAAGTAAACAAATAAATAAATAAAATAAATTATACGATATCTGGACCACGTGCAACCGGCTCCGGGCCAGACCACGACAGGAAGAATTATTCCTTTAACCATATACATACCCAAAACCTTTTGATTTAGCCGCACCACACTGGCACGGGATTTGTTTTCGTTGAAATTTTTCTTGTCGACTATAAAACAATATTGCTCTACAAAAGTTAAAATATGAACTCAGCATTGATGAAAGACTTAAAATAGTTTTTAAGTAAATTAAATAAAACATTCCCCCTTAATATTAGTTAAAATTTCGTCCCAATAATTTAAAGGAAAGTCGTTCGTCCACCTTGATCTAAGTTTATATGTTAATTTATTGAATTATTTATGCACCACTAAACTTATATATATATCCCACATACATACATCATATATTGTTTATTAACATATGTCCTAAATAATTTAAATAGTATTTGTAAGTAAAAAGAATTTGATATAATCAGAATTTCGTGAAACTAGGAAAAGAATATACATTTGCATAAAATTACATATGTAAATTTGCGGAGGTCTCGCAGCAGTTGGGATGTAAATTAGCAAGTAAAGTAAATAACCTACACAACTATATGCGAATGTAGAAAGAGGAAAAGTCTCACAATAATAAGTTTAGAAACCCCGAGATAAAAATGATCTCAATATTAAACCCCTGGTTGGAGCTCCAAATAGGTAGGGTAATTTAAATGAATAATCATGAATTGATCAATATTTATATATTCGTATATGGGTCAACAAAGGTGTAATTAAAAATTTAAATCAATTTCAAAGGAAGTGTTGCCGTATGAATTTGACATCGCAGCTGTAGCAAGGGGATGCAAATATATGCGTTAGGTTAACAGGAGATATAAAGCAAAAATTTAAGATGAATGTTTATGGTTAATAATAAAATTGTAACGTGAGGATGTTGTGCTAAGTGTTCGTCTATGGGGAGGGGGAAATGAGACTGACCTTGGAGTAGGCTGATGATAGCCATCGGAAGGGAGATTTGGCGAAGGATGCATGCCGGATCTCAGGCAGGGTGGGGGTGTCGGAGTACATCACCTAAACTCCAAATTGTTCGGTGCAAGTAAAGTTTCCAGTAACGTCCAATGTTTATCATTATTTATCCTATTTTGTTTGCATTTCGTTTTGTTTACATTTGATTTTATTGATGTCGTCGGACTGAGATGGCCGATCAGCTGGGCTATTGTGCGGACTGAGGGTTGGGAAGAACCCCACCACGAGATGGACTGGCTAGCCGGCCTTGCCCCATCGAAGAACCAGGTCCGTAACAATAGATGGCGCCCAATTTAAAGGCAGGAGTGGATTTGCTGATCCTGTCATCCGAAAGGTTGGAAAGGATGCGAATTGCACATCGGTAGGAATTATAAATAACCAGCCTAGAGGTAGGATCTCGGAAGGGACTTGGTGATTCGGGTACCTCGGTGACCGATGGCCTATGAAGGACCTGATGGTCGGTTCAGAGTAGCGCGGTGCCGGGGGATCTGGAAGCAAAGATGACCCAAAGTAAATGTAATTTTTTTTTGTTGAAAGAGATTGGTACGTATCTGACGAACGGAAGAGGGTGCTCGGTAAGGGTGGTTCGGCACTAGCAGGAAATAATTCTTCGGCTAGTTAGCGACTATCCCGATGCCTGGTGTGCTACTCGAGCGCCTGGAAAATAAAGCAGAATAATAACCGGAATCAGAAATAGTCCAAATAGGGAAAACTTCCCTTACTTACCCGTGATGAGGTCAGGATGTGGAATATCGACTGTGAGTGGCCCGTGGGGACCAGAGAGGTCGGCCACGCGTTGCATTCATGGCGGCTCTTCACTCCTAGAACAATCATTTAGTGATGTAAGTAAGGAGAAGTTTAGATAATAGAATGGCGAGCGCCCTTGACACCTAGTCTTCTGGGGAAGATGGGATGGTCAACAGCGCTCACCGAGAAACTTGTGCTGGAAATTGAGGACACTGAAATCCGGGGTGAAGTTGGCTCCGGTGAATGTTGAGTTTTTCCCTCCTTGTGGTAGTTGTGAAATTTTGTTTGAGTTGTCATTGTGTGTTGTGGCGCAGCCGGTTCAAAACTATAAAAAAAAAAATAAAAGATAAATATTAGTAAAACATCTAAGTAAAGATAGATTAGGAAAAGTTGATGAGCAAGTATTTTTTAAGGTCAAAGGGGAAAATGGTAGACAGGACTCCTCCGCCAGGGAATCCTCGGAAGGGGCATCAAGAAGGAGACGATGACAGCTGGAATTTGCCAATAGCATCGAAGGTCCTGCCATCGGAAATCACATCGGCTGTCAATGTG